ATCAAACTTATAAATTTTGGCAAAATGAGCAATACAAAACTTTAAATTTTTCAATACTCAGACATTGATCAAGGCAAAAGTAAACATACCATAGAAACGAAAAGGGAAATTTGAGCATTTTTGAGAAAAAAAATCTTGAACCGATTTTTATGTCCAAACAAGGAAATAGTTGATTTGCAATTTCAGACTAAAGAGGTCAATACAGGATAGTGTTGGGTGATAAAAATCTGAAAAAAATTTCAACAACTACAATAGCTTGCCTGACAAATTATCCGTACCGCAACTCATTTAGTGCGAGACTGCGTTTTATCTCACAGCCGCACTGGAGGCCTCAGCTTCCAGTGCGGCTGTATACCGACTGGATTTTGAGCTTGAGTTCAGCATTTTCTTTGTTTTATTTTATTGAAGCATTATTGGACTTTTCAGATTCAGTGCCTCTCGTTCAAAGGAACAATTCAGACTTAAGGATGCCGGCTATTTCATCTTTCTGACTCTTTACTTTGGTCTCATATGCTCAAAGTTTTTCAAATTCAGCCTCAAGTATAAAACTACCATTGATCGCTGATAGTTTGTGCAGCCAAAGTTCTTATTAAGGTACGTTTTGTTGGGGTCGTCAATTTTTCTAGCCAACAGAAATTGTTCCTGAAATCTTTGTAAAAATTACTTTTTGTCCCTGCACTCGAACAACTTACTTGTCTCATTTGCATATTTCTTCCTTGCTTTCACCGACTATTTTTTGTTCAACGAATTTTTTTATAATTTGAATGCAAAGCTCAAAGAAATCGGTGTATGACATAAGCCGTCAGCAACTATGACTCTTAAAATTGTCATCTTCACGATAATTTTTCTTCAAGTTGAACTTAAGGGGAAATTGTTTTCACTTCAAGAAAGCCGATAAACCGACTACTCAAAAACTAGCTAGCTTAGAGGCATTGAAGGGCGGAAAAGCTGACTACCTATTGCTTCTGCCTTAAGCCTTATTAAGCCATACACTTTACTAAGCTTAAGGGGTAAACGTTTCAGTTTCTTACAGATTGTGAGAGCACTAAGATCAGCACTCTGACGTCTTAGCAAACTGAGAGTTTTAACTCCAGACAGAGGGACTGGTCAAGCTCCGTAAGCTTCTCAATAAGCACCTGGCCTTTAGCCTTACGATTAGAAACGAGAAATAAAGCCTTTGACCACGTTAAAAACAAAAATACCGGTTACAATTAACTCCTTTTCTACATTCTCAAAACTTTGATTAAGATCATCCATACTGTTATGCTCTCTATTTGATGGCATCGTGCAAATATCACGGTCGTTACGTGACGATAGAAAGTGATGTAGATAGAATTGAATTCGAGGTGTATTGAACTAGCTTCGGGAATGAACACAAAGGCCACAAAACAAAATTTAGATGGTTTTTTCAATGCGTTTGAAAAATACAAAGGTAGATTGAATTCAAACACACGCACGGAAACAAAACGGAGGCTGAAATTATTTATAAAAGAAGCAATCTTTCTGAGTTTACTCTACCACGCCACTTAACCCGCTTTTGATATCAAACAACAGTTTTATTAAACTCTGTGGGAAGTTTTGGAAACTATCGAGTTTTTTTCATACCGGTTCTGGGTATTTGGTTAGTAGGTACGATTTATACACAAGTTCAGAAACATTTTGTCTACTTTCCGAAACCGTTGTCTATTTTCCGTTTACAATATTTTGCAACCCCTGATTTTTTATCAAAAATTTTTGGCATCGAATAAATGTTTGGAAGAAGTTCACGAACTGCAATTGAATTGAAATGACCCAAAAAAGTCGAGTATCAAGAAAAATTAACAACTTCGGTTTGATCAAACAGACAAAAGTTTTCAGTATTGGGGGAAATTAGAGCTAAAAGCTTGCTATCAGTAGAAAACAGTATAAAACATCGTTATCAAATTTATAGCATCAAGTTTTTAGAAGTTTTGGAACGGTATTACAAATTTTCAGGTTGAGCAATCACCGAGATTCTGAATTTTATGTCGGGAAAAACACATCTGAACATAGTTTCGAAACACTGCGACAATGTTCCAAAGCACCTCTAAAAACTGCGCCTTTGCGCCAAAAAAACATCTTTGAACACTGCGTCTGTGTCCGTAAAACTATCGGTGATTACCGCGTTCAAGTTCCAAAAATCACATTTGAACATTGCATTTGTCTACACACCGCGTTTGTGTCCGGAAAATCCCCTCTGAACACTGCGTCTGTGTTTCAACCCCCTGCCGACCAAAAGGGTCACCCCTTTAGTACTTTTTAAGAAATTCATTTTTGGCCGACCGACTCTAATATTTTTCTGAAGGCGCCTTTGGCGCCAATATATATAACTTTGAAGGGAAGCGTGCACCAAAAAAACGCAATTTTTTTGTCAAATTTTTTCAAAAAGTGCCCAAAAATGGCTTTTTTGACCTGTTTTTTTTTCAAAAATTTGCCTGCGGCGCAGAAAGTTTCTTCCAAACACCGTCATTTTACTGCTTTAGGAGACCTCCGAAAATCAGTTTGGTCGATTTAAAAAAAGTAGTCAAAATTTTCAAAAACTTGTTGAAAATCCCCCTCCCCTGTCGAGAAAATCCTAGATCCGCCCACTGGAACTTTGTCTCTGTGTCAAATAAAAACAATTCTGGGCCCTGCTTTTGAAAAACAGCTCTAGAATTGTCTCGGTGTCGGGAAGAACAGCCATGGACCCTGCCTCTCTGTCAAGGAAAAGAGCTCTGGGCACTGTCTTGGTGTCGCGAAAAACAGCTCTATACACTATCTCTGTGTCGAAAAAAAAACAGCTCTGGATGCTGTCTCGGTGTCAAGGAAGTCAGCTTTAAGTGCCTTGTGTTCACTATCGTATCCATTGTGGGCACCAAAAAAGCTCACTCTAATCTCCAAATTGTAGAAAAAAAACAAAGAAAGGATAATAAAGAACAAGTCTTTGGTAAACAATTTTCCAAAACGGGAAGTTCAGACATTTGTCATCTATCATAACATCAACAATTTATTTCTCAGGACTGAAAGGAAGCTCTCAAAACACTGGTATTTATCCTTGATGCAATGTGTTCTTTTTAAAGGTCAGTCTTAAGTCTGAACCAAGTTAGAGAGGAAAAAAGAAAAAAAAACGGGCAAATGGTGATGTAGCTCCTGCGGTTTTTACATTTATAAAGGTCGGAGAATGGGGGGATTCGAGCCCGGGTGACGAAAAAGATAGACACTTGTTGAGGCCAGTCACATTCTGATTTAATTTACTTTACTTGAGCGTGAACAGTTGAACTTTTTCGTACGCAAAATTGCATATTTTTTTATTTTACGTATCGTGTGAGCGGAAATTTTATCTGTTTTTTTTTTCGAAATTTAATCTGCTTTTTTGAAATTTTATCTTTTTAACAAAACCAAATACAGTAAAGGACAGGTAAAACATTGATAGCATCCTCTAAAGAACAGTCTTGTTGCTTCAAAATTGATAAAATTTGAAAAGCAAAGTATCTGTTTCGGAAAAAAAATATAAAAAAAACATAAGCGATCTTCAAATGAGAACCCATTCAATGTAAATTAAAAACACTTAAAAGGAAAAAAATCTTTTTGCGAGAACGCCGTGGAGAGTTGCAGCCGCTTTTCGTGCTTTTTTATTCTATACTGATTCTCTAATTCAAAATTTTAATCTTTTCTTTTGCAATTTTGATTTTTTTATACTCTCACAATTTTTCCTAAAGAAATAGTTTCCAAAAGCCGCCTCAATTTAGGCGAATTGGTTCTAATTGGGAGTTATCTGCCGACAATTGGGCCATCATAGCCCCGTTTTGTAAAGTTGGCTCAAAATAACGCTGTTACATGCCGTTATAGGTTTGAAGGTTATTGTGGCGCATTATTAAAACTGGTATTATTTTTTATCTTTGTGTCGGATCAAAAGGATTTTTTTTGGCCTGAGAACTATCAAAAAAATTATCGAACAAGCAATTTTACTTCGACTGAATTTCTTTTTCGAGCTTCACCGATATTGAAATTAACAAACACTAAACAATAAACAAAGCGGCGCCGAGGATAAATAAGGAAAAAAATGCCCCAAAAACTTTTTAGAAAGTTTTAGGACTGTTAGGAATATTTTTTTCTTTGCATGAGGAAGCGTTACACAAACACTGTCGTGATTTTTAATGCGAGACAATTTCTCAAACTGTGTAATTGACCAGGGGCGGATCTAGGATTTTCTCGAGGGAGGGGCTGATTTTCAAAAAACTTTCAATAATTTTGACAACTTTTTTATTAGGTCGACCGAATTGTTTTTCCGAGCTCTCCCAAAGCAGTAAAAATACCCTGTTTTGGCCAAATTTTCTGCGCCGCAAGCAATTTTTTGAAAAAAAACAGGTCAAAAAAGCCGTTTTTGGGCACTTTTTGGAAATTTTTGACAAAAAAACGCGTTTTTTGGCGCGCGCTCCCCCTCAAAATTAGTATATATTGGCGCCAAAGGCGCCTTTAGAAAAATTTTAGGGTCGGTCGACCACAAATGGATTTCTTAAAAAGTACCAAAGGGGGGACCCTTTGGGTTGGCAGGGGTTCGAATCCCTGAGAGGGGGCGTCCGACAAACAAACCCCCCCCCCCCTAAATACGCCCCTGTAATTGACCATTCATGCCATGAAAATTTGATGAGGCGCCCGCATGAAACCTTCTCATACAGTTGGTTCAGCCGTTTTTTGAAGAGACGCAGAGCTTTTTTCCTATTTATGAAAATTCTAGCAAGAAGCCAAGTCGACTTTGAAGGTTATTTGTTAAAGAGCCCATCGCCCGATAGAAGTGGCTATCTGGGTCTCGACGTGCTCACTCTGTGTTTTGACTGTCGAATTCGAACTTAATGCCAGTTCTACCGACCGAAAGTTCTAAGTGGAGACATGAGTTTGGTTCTAGCATAGTTGGGTCATAGAGTGGGCATCTGCACCCTGGTAGTTAAGTTAGCCCGAGTGAGGGAAAAGTGTGTGAATGTGTGGGTGAATGATAGACTGACCTTGGGCGGATGAAAGAAGAGGGAGAAATGAGATGCACCCCAGAATAGGAAATAATGAGGAGAGGAGGAGGATGGAGGGGGGAGAATGGACCGGCAGAGACATGCCACACAAGTTGCACCGTCTGTGATGTAATTAAAGAATAATCGCTGAAGTCAGTGAATCGAACCAAGATGCCGATGATACTTCTATTGTCGTATACTTTTACTCCTGTTCGGCAAAATATCCAAAAAGCGAAGCAACTGACAATCTGAGGATGTCGCAAATAAGAATTAAATGCAAGTTGAAAGACGTGATGGCCTCTGTGGTCTCTCAATCTGAGGTATCAACTCCTCTCTTCAGAATGTCACAACTCTTTATTTTATTCTTCGCCAATAGAGAAGAAAAGCAGCAGAACAATGTAAAATTAGGATGGTCAACTTCAGATCGACAGCAGATAACACAATGGGGATGATGGCCACTGTCTTCTAGTATGTCTTCTACTGCTTCAGTTTAGGAGGTGATGATGATTTGGTGTTGCAATGTAATAACATACAAATGTTAGACCAGTGCTGATTAAAGCGAACTGTGACTGTGAAACAACTCGGTTGCCAATCGTGCCAAAGACGGATGGACTGCTTCTTTCTTGGCCTTCTTTCTCTCTATCTCTCGTGGATTGACCGCAAATTACTGCAGTCTCTCGTTTCTCGTTTTGTTTCCCCCAATTTCTTCTCCCACTCTGTAACCCCACCAAACAACCCACTGCTTGTCTACTTGGGGAGGGGCTTTGATCTGTTCTTTCTCTGTTCTTTTGTCTGTCTGTACCTGTTTGTGTCCCACTGCGACTGCTGTGTTCTCTTCTCTTCTCTTCTGTTCTATCTCTTAGTGGTGTCTGTCGTGACCTGTGCTGTTTGTCTGTCGAGTGTCGATCTGAGACGTTGTTTGATCTATCAACAAACTAACATATCACTCACTCACTCACTCACTCTTTCACTAGACTGACTGACCAACAACAGAATATATAGCAACCAAACACCAATGAGGCTGTATGCCACAAATGGGCGCCAAGTAGAGTATCCTCAGAATATTCTTCTCAGATCGTTCCTTTCCTTCTCTTGATCTGTTGTGCTGTGCCTACACAAAGTATCAAAATATAAAACTTCGGCTTTTATCAGAAATAATGAGTTTATAACGAGGTCCAACGAAAAACGTCAGCGAGTTTTTTGCTAAATTTTGTACCTCGCAATTGCCGATGTTTCGAATTTGTTGTACAAGTGATTGAGCAACAATTCAGTGCAGGCAAACATTTTCTTCACGCTTTTCAATGATCTCTGGTCTGAGTTTCGAGTTCAGTTTAAAAGTTTTCACGATGAACTGATCTAAATTCATATATTTCTCTGAGTTTCGAAAAACACTGATGGAATATCTCAAACGAATTTTCAAGTTTTTAGACTGAAGTTTCAATCAAAATTGAAAAAATAATAAGCTTCAACATCGGCCGAGAGCAAGCAATTTGGACTAACATCTATTAAATTAGTTTAAAAACTAATTTGATATTGTATGCAGTAAGCAAACTGTTTACAGGGATAACCGGTTGCCATGCAACTAGCACAGTAAGTTCCGACCACGAAATTAAACAAGTGCTTAATAAGAAATTGTGATGATTTTTTGCTCCTCGTTCGGCTTCGAGCGGATCTGAAAAAAAAACATAGAAATAAGGAAAATTGATTTTTTTTGGGTTTTCTAGACTTTTTTGTAGTCAAGAATGCGCTAACATACGCTTTAAAACTTATATTTTTGGGGTAAGTAATAGCTTAATTTTTTTTCCGTGTTATAACAATGTTCGCTCGCAATATTCACTCAAAATTTGACAAAAAAAAATATAATTTTTCTCTAAACTGCGGTTCTTTTTTGGGACTCTTTAATTCGGGTTCAAAAAGAAATTGCGAAAGATTCAACGTAGTTTATCACTTGGCCCCTTCCGACAATTATTTGTGAACCTGATTTTGCATGGATAACAACAAAAAGCAGACAAAAAAAAATTAAATATACCCGAATAAAAAGTTCCTCTCCATTTTCAGTTGTGGGAACAAAAACGCTGGAGTTTAAAAGGTTTATCATTCTAAAGGCTAGCATTTCTCGCTGAATTTTTTTCGAAAATTGTGAAAACTTTCTCGTGAGCAACGAGACGAGAATTAGCTCAATTTGCTGGGAAGTTTTATTGCATAAAACAAAAACTGGCTTTCTCAGTATAGGAAAAAAATGTAAACACTCAATACCAAAATTACACATCACAAAAATTAGCCATGATGATTTGATGGTTTTTCCAAAGGTTTGTTCTTCTGCCAAAAATTGAAATGATAGTATTTTTGTTCAAAATCCAAATAAAAATAAGGATTTAGAAAACAATTTGAGATCAATAAAAAGTTCAACAGTGACTGCGATCAATTCTAAAACCCTATTGCGACTTGAAAACTTCCCCTGCGATTTATTCATATTATATAACATTCGCAAAAGTTTCAATCTTTCCTAATGGAATAGAGAGTTTGCTAAATTGACCCTGTGACTAGTTATTATCATTTCAAATTAACTAGAGACTAACTAACCGTGAAATTTTTAGTTCAAAGCCAACTAAGCAAAAATGATAAACTTAAGATCATTCCATATCAGCAAAAATTTTGATTTATATTTGAACGATGTTTCAAGAAAAAATTTACTCTTCTTATATACTTTGAATGGATTGTTTATTTCGAGCAAAAAAAAACAAAAGGTTTTTTGTCAAGAAAAACAAGTCACTCAACGAGAGCAGTTTTTTTGATGCAGCCTATGATTCAAAAAAAATACTGGGCACTCAATTGAAAAAAAGGGCTAAAAGAAAAACGGTTATATGAGTTTACTTCTTTGTAGAACACAAATTACTTCAAAGCAAATCGATGACTGATTACTGCAAAATTTAGTTATGAGAAAAACATCGGGGGAAAGATCAATAAAACTTATGAATAAGCGTCGTTCATTTTTTTAGCTTCGTGTTTCAGTTTGACTTTAATTCCCATCATTAGCAAAAATGGGTCAAAACTTTCGATTATTGAAGGGATTTTCAGCACAGTTTCAGTTTGACTGAATTCCCATCAATCGCAGGAATGGTTCAAAGTTTCCTATTATTGCTGGAATTTTTAGCACAGTTTCAGTTTGACTAAATTCCCATCATTCTTAAGGATGGGTCTAAATTTTCTATAATTGCTGGGATTTCTAGCTTAGTTTCAGTTTGACTAAATTCCCATCATTCGCAAGAATGAATCAAAACTTTCTATCATTGCTGGGATTCTTAGCGCAGTTCAGTTTTACTAAATTTCCGTCATTAGCAAGAATGGGCAAAATTTTCTATTACTGCTGGGATTTTTATCACAGATTCAGTTTGACTAAATCCCCGTCAATCGCAAGAATGGGCAAAAATTTCTATTATTGCTGGGATTTTTTATCACAGTTTCAGTTTGACTAAATTCGCATCAATCGCAGAATTGGTTCAAAGTTTCCTATTATTGCTGGAATTTTTAGCACAAATTCAGTTTGACTATAATTCCCACCATTCGCAAGAATGGGTCATTATTTCTATTTTTGTGGGGATTTTTAGCACAGTGTTAGTGCGACTTTAATTTTATTATTCGCAAGAATAGGTCAAAACTTTCTATGAATGTTGCGATTTTTAGCACAGTTTCAATTTGGCTATAACTCCCATCACTCGCAACAATGGGTCAAAACTTTCTATTATTCTGGGATTTTTAGCACAGTTTTAGTTTGACTAAATTCCCATCATCCGCAAGAATGGGTCAAAAATTTATTTTTTTGCTCCGTTTTTAGCAGTTTCAGTTTGACTATAATTTTTATCATTCGCAAGAATGGGTCAAAATTTTCTATTTTCGTTCCAACTTTTATCACAGTTTCAGTTTGACTAAATTCCTATCAATCGCAAGAAAGGGCAAATTTTTCTATCATTGCTGGGATTTTTATCACAGTTTGAATTTGACTAAATTCCCATCAATCGCAGGAATGGTTCAAAGTTTCCTATTGTTGATGGAATTTTTTGCACAGTTTCAGTTTGACTATAATTCCCATCAATCGCAAGAATGGGTCAAAAATTTTTTTTTTGTGGCAATTTTTGGCCCAGTTTTAGTGCGACTTTAATTTTTATCATTCGCAAGAATGGGCCAAAACTTTCTATTGATGTTGCAATTTTTAGCACAGTTTCAGTTTGGGTCAAAAATTTTTATCATTGCTGGAATTTTTAGCACAGTTTTAGTTTGGCTAAGTTCCCATCATTCGCAAAAATGGGTCAAAATGTTTTTTATTGCTCGGTTTTTAGCACAGTTTCAGTGCGACTATATTTTTTATCATTCGCAAGGGTCAAAACTTTATATTATTGTTCCGATTTTTATCACAGTTTTAGTTTGACTAAATTGCCATCAATCGCAAGAAAGGGCAAATTTTTCTATCATTGCTGGGATTTTTATCACAGTTTGAATTTGACTAAATTCCCATCAATCGCAGGAATGGTTCAAAGTTTCCTATTGTTGATGGAAATTTTTGCACAGTTTCAGTTTGACTATAATTCCCATCAATCGCAAGAATGGGTCAAAATTTTCTATTTTTTTGGCAATTTTTAGCACAGTTTCAGTGCGACTTTAATTTTTATCATTCGCAAGAATGGGCCAAAACTTTCTATTGATGTTGCAATTTTTAGCACAGTTTCAGTTTGGGTCAAAAATTTTTATCATTGCTGGAATTTTTAGCACAGTTTTAGTTTGGCTAAGTTCCCATCATTCGCAAAAATGGGTCAAAATGTTTTTTATTGCTCGGTTTTTAGCACAGTTTCAGTGCGACTATATTTTTTATCATTCGCAAGGGTCAAAACTTTATATTATTGTTCCGATTTTTATCACAGTTTCAGTTTGACTAAATTCCTATCAATCGCAAGAAAGGGCAAAATTTTCTATTATTGCTGGGAATTTTATCACAGTTTCAGTTTGAAAAAATTCCCATCAATTTCAGGAATGGTTCAAAATTTCCTATTAATGCTGGAATTTTTAGCACAGTTTCAGTTTTACTATAATTCCCATCTTTCGCAAGAATGGGTCAAAATTTTCTATTTTTTTGGCAATTTTTAGCACAGTTTCACACCGACTTTAATTTTTATCATTCGCAAGAATGGGTCAAAACTTTCTATTGATGTTGCGATTTTTAGCACAGTTTCAGTTTGGCTATAACTCCCATCACTCGCAAGAATGGGTCAAAACTTTCTGTTATTGCTGGAATTTTTAGCACAGTTTTAGTTTGACTAAATTCCCATCATTCACAAAAATGGGTAAAAATGTTTTTTTATTGCTCGGTTTTCAGCACAGTTTCAGTGCGACTATATTTTTTATCATTCGCAAGAATGGGTCAAAACTTTCTATTATTGTTCCGATTTTTATCACAGTTTCAGTTTGACTAATTTCCTATCAATCGCAAGAAAGGGCAAAATTTTCTATTATTGCTGGGATTTTTATCACAGTTTCAGTTTGACTAAACTTCCATCAATCGCAGGAACGGTTCAAAGTTTCCTATTATTGCTGGAATTTTTAGCACAGTTTCAGTTTGGTTATAATTCCCATCATTCGCAAGAATGGGCCAAAATTTTTTTTTTTATGGGGATTTTCATCACAGTTTCAGTGCGACTTTAATTTTTATCATTCGCAAGAATGGGTCAAAACTTTCTAATGATGTTGCGATTTTTAGCACAGTTTCAGTTTGGCTATAACTCCCATCACTCGCAAGAATGGGTCAAAACTTTCTATTATTGCTGGAATTTTTAGCACAGTTTTAGTTTGACTAAATTCCCATCAATCGTAAAAATGGGTCAAAACTTTCAAATTGACTATAATCCCCATCATTCGCAAGAATTGATCAAAGTTTTCTATTATTGCTGGAATTTTTAGCACAGTTTCAGTTTGACTACAATTCCCATCATTCGCAAGAATAGAACCAAGTTTTTTTTGCTGGTATTTTTAGCACACTTTCAGTTTGATTATAATTCCCATCATTCGCAAGAATGGATCAAACTTTCTTTTTTTGCTGGGATTTTTAGCACAGTTTCAGTT